CCCTGGGAGGTGATTTCTCGCTTTCTGTCTCTATGTCTCTCTCTGTCTGTCTGGAGAGCACACGTGCCCTACAGTGAAAATCTCTCCAAAAAAAAAAAAAAAAAAAAGGGTGCAGAATATACATAAATATGTGGATAAATACATATACGTATATATACTCTACCTTACACAATTTCTAAAAAGGCTTATGAGAAATTGTCAAAAAATAGTTGCTTCCAGAAAAAAACAACTGAAAATTGGTGGACAAGGACAGGAGGAAATTATTGATCATTTACACCCTTTTCTACTTCTTCAATTCTGAAACGTACAAATTAACTGCTGAATTTAAAAATGTTTTATTTAAATCTTAAAAAGTTAAAGTGGAGGGGACCAGCAGTTAGCATAATGGCTATGTCGCTGGACTCCCATGATATCGACCGCGATTCGAGTCCCGAACCAGGTGGCTTAAACTCAGGCCCGGCGTGTGTGCGTGTGTGCCCAAGATCCCAAGAGGAGAATGGTTAGACGGGACTGCGGTGGTGGCCATCACTCCTGGGGGGTGATTTCTTGCTTTCTGTTTCTCTGTCTCTCTCTCTTGTCTTTCTGGCAAGCGCACAAGCCCTATAGCAAAAAACCTCTCTTAAAAAAAAAAAAAGTTAATGTGGAGTCTTTTATCTCTTAAAGACATAGACTGAAATGTTTACAGATGAAATTATATGATTTAGACTCATTTCAAAATAATTGGAGGTGGGAGTAGACAGCAGAATAGGATGTTGAAAATATAACAATTTAGATGAAACTCAGTTGACTTACTGGAGTTGACTGATAGGCACATGAAGATACACTATACTACTCTGTCACTTTTTGTTTGAAAATTTTCATAACAAAATTCTATTTTAAAATATTAATGTAAAGCTGTAACAGTAAGGCTCAGAAAGCCAACTCTCCCTCATGATAAAATATGATAATGGCATAAACAAACAAAAAAAAATTTCACGAATATTTAATGAAGCATTGGCTTTTCTCTTTCATTTTTTTTCTTTATTCATCTGACAATTAAAAGTGTCTAAAAAAGATGAACTACTATTAAATTTACTGAGTGTGAGGCCAAGTATCCTATAGATATTCTCTCACTTAGTCCATACTACAACCCTGTGAATTAAGAATCATCATCATCACTTTACAAGAGCTGAGACTCTTGGTATAGCATGGATCATTAACTGCCCAAAGTCACAAAGTTAGTAAATGACAGGATTCAAATGTAGGTCTCTGACTCCAAATTCCATGCTCTTAAGGGAAGAATTAAAAAGATAAAAGATCGCAAATCTACAAACAATACTTAGCTACTAGTGGACCAAACAGTGGGAAGCATACTCACATTTTAATGAGAAAATAAGTGTACGGATTTTATAGTACCTATTTCCTGAGTTAAGAAGGATTATAAGGGAAAAGTTTTATTCAAAAATTCTTAAATCCTCTCTAACCACACTAACAGCTCTAAAATAAAGTGGCATAAAGTCGCATCTATTAGGCTCAAACATTTCCTTTTTATCTGTTATTAGCTAAAAGAATACTATAAATGCCTTTGCCAAATTTCTAGAATTCATATTATTATTATTATTATTATTATTATTTTTATGGGGGAGGGGCTATAAGGCATATACGCTTGCCAGGGAGAGAGTGAAAAAGAAAGTCAGAAAGCACCCCTAGGGCCAATGATCAAGCCATAATAGCTTCTCCATTCTTTTCTCAGGATTTTGGACATACACATACACGTACACGGTGGTGTATTTTCAAGCCATTGGGTGCAGGACTTAAACCATAGCTGGTAGTGTGGAATCAAGCCACCTTAACCACCATGCCACCTGGCTGGCCCCTGAATTAATTTTGTAGAAGAGATTTTTGTGAGTAGATCCTGTAGTCCCAGACCATTTATACTCCTACTTTCCTACAAATATTTTCATTTCCAGTCCTACAATAAATTAAAAAAAAAAAGTAAAACAAAAACAGGTTAGATTATTTTTGAAGCCTAGACTATGCATTACTTGTCCTTTAAAGGAACCTTTTAAAATTGCAAAACAGCATAAACATCATTAGCATAAGAATGCATTTGTGGGACCAGCAGTTAGCATAATGGCTATGTCGCTGGAATCCCATGTAGTTGACCATGGTTCGAGTCCCGGACCCGGTGGTTTAAACTCATGCCGGGCGCATGTGCGTGTGTGCCCAAGATCCCAAGAGGAGAAGGGATTGCAGCATGGCCATACCCCCCCCTCGGGGGGGTGATTTCTTGCTTTCTGTCTCTCTGTCTGTCTCTGTCTGTCTCTGTCTTTCTGAGGAGCACACGCGCCCTACAGCAAAAACCTCTACAAAAAAAAAGAATGCATTTGTTAAATCATGTATTTTGCTCTTATAATATTGGTAGGTATCCATAAAAGACAGGTGCTTAGCCACAGGAATTGTATTTTAGACTACGCTAACACCAAGAGTTAAAGAAGAACTCAAAGCAACATGCTTTTAAAAGCAGTGTGTGAGTCACTCGTAAGAATGGCTCCATCCTATGAACTCCCTCTATACTTACTTCATATCTCTGCAAATAGCACAAAATTATTGTGATTTCTCTGCTTAGTGTCTGACTGTGAGTTGCTCCATGGTGAGGTCTTTCAATTTCAAACAGCAACACAATACTGGCATATGGTAGGAACTCAATCATTGTTTGAGGAATTAAGAGAATGTAAAAATATCACAAGAATCCCAAGATGCTCCCGAATAGCAATTTCCTGACTTTCAAAGGAATGGAGAGACTTTTGTTTAATTTTTGAATATAATAAATCGAAGAGTTCACTGGTCACTTAGAAGCTAGCGATATCAAGTCCCACATACAGATCCTCATTAAAAAGCAAACAGAAAAATCTGTTTTACTGAGCCACATCAGAAATGATTCAGGAAAATAAAGCTCATTTTAACTAGAAAAAAAAAAGGATTTTCATTTTTTAATGTGTAGATAAGATACTGTATTACTTTAAGATATAAGTAAGCAAATATGCTAAGCTTACACAGAATGCAATTGTCTAGTTGAGGAAAAGTAGAAAGTAAGAGTGAGGGTCACATGAACCTGCCCTGAATTAAACGTCACATTTCTGTTATTTCTCACCAGACGTGTGAGAAATAGTATTATAGTATTATAGTATTTGTAAACTAAAATGTTACATATCAAATAACTGTGTATTTGGTCTTCATTTAGTCAAACATTTATTAAGTGCCTATTTTGTGCCAAACACAGTAGGAGGTGCATGAATAAAAGAATGAAAACATAACCCCTTTGTCTTTAAAGAACTCACTAATAGGGAAAGAAAACAAACTAGAGGGACCAGCAGTTAGCGTAATGGCTATGTCGCTGGACTCCCATGTAGTCTACCGTGGTTCGCGTCCTGGACCCGGTGGCTTAAAACTCACGCTGGGCGCGTGTGCATGTGTGCCCAAGATCCTGAGAGGAGAACGGAGGAAAAGGGATTGCGGCGTGGCCATCCCCCCTGGGGGGTGATTTCTCACTTTCTGTGTCTCTGTCTGTCTGGCTGGCAAGCGCACGCGCCCTATAGCAAAAACCTCTCCAAAAAACAAAAAACAAAACAAAAAACAAACTAGAAGCAAGTCATTATTCACGCATTTTCATAAACTTCTATCTGTTCTGAGTGAATATAAATTTTCTGATTTCCTGAACTCCTTACCAAAAATCACTAGATGGAAGTCCACATTAATAAAACTTCCCCAAAGAAGTATTTGTCAGATGGATCACTTTGGACAAATTTGCAAGAGAAAAATATTCTTTGGTCAAGGACTTGCATTTCAAGTTTTAAGCTGAACTGAATGTAGAATGAATAGCAAATGGTCCATTATGGAAATGGTGACAGACTTACACCACTGGGGGATGCAACTATGATGTTGCATTTATTGAAAATTAATGAAGTCCTGAATTTTTATTTATAAAGTGAATATTATTAGTTTTAGATTATTTTCTGTAAGCCAATAGTCAAAATTTAATAAGATGATGTGTACAGATTGCACCGATTTTCACTCTTATCCACTGCTTGCAGCCTATGTGCATTTAAACCAAAAACATTTGATATACACTAACTATAAATTATTTCCTTGGAGATCTCTCAGGCATGAAGAAAAAGCCTCTTAAAATAAATTTAAAATATTATATGCTTGATGGTGTATAACCGAAGGTTTAATCTCACCACTAAAGGGGCAGTTACCATGATTTTGCAATAACCCTGCAGACAATAATCAAGACAGCTCCTGTTGTTCTCTCAGCAAAATCTTCGTAAACACAGCATGGATATATTGTAATGTGATATCTGTAAGATCAACAGCTATACCTCATGACAATTCATAATATAAGATTTTCTTCATCATTAAATTGAGCACTTTCCTCAGTAGCCTTAGGAAAACGTGTTATTTACCAAGCATTGTCCTATTAACTACAGATTAGCACATTAAAATAGATACGCTTTCTTTCTCTCTAAAATAGTATAGTTCATGAAGCAGTTCTAAAACGTAGGAAATTTATTAAATTTTTCCAACTTTGGGAAAATTTTGAAATCTGTGTGCCTTGTTCACATTACTACTTTAAAAATAGCTGATTCAAGTTATTTTTTTCTACTACAAATATTAAAAATATTTCCAAAACAGAGCCCTATGAGTAGTTTAAAATGTCTCTACTTCATAATGATATCAACATTATTCTAACTTTAAGAAAAAAGATGGCAATTAGAATAAACACAAGTGATGACACAACTTTAGGAAAGCAGGGAACATGTAATTCAAAAAGGAGTGAAAGACAATATAAATTAGAATCAAAGGCATTCAAAATGGAAATTACTAGAGGAATTCAATTACCGATCTCTCCCTCCCCTCTTTCACACACACACACACACACACAGTACACACATTATTTAAATACAAATAGGTGACCCCATCAGTATTTCAGAAGTGTAATAAAACCATCTTTCACTCACCAATGCTGGATTTTCTCTTGGCAGTTAGTGACCACCTGTCATGAAAACAGATAACTACTCATGAAAAAACAGGGCTATACACAGAGCTACAAAATCAGTGTATCAGAAAACTAGAACACTGGCTTTACAGATTTAACGGCATCTCAGTACACATTTTTATTTGTCAAATGCACAGAGATGTGAATGCTAGTTTTTAAGCAGCACACTTTATCATAACTCTCTAATGCAAGCTGATAACTGCAGAACAAATTACAGCTTTCCGACTCATACTTTAGTACAAAACCCGCTTCATAACTATTAGGTGACATATGATATAAGATAACTAGTATTTTGTACAATCTACAGACCTGTTTTCAATGTTACATATTTTGTCGAATACGCAAATGTTATAAATAACAAGAAACCAATGTAACATCCACATTTCATCAGTAAAAAAGAAAAAAAATGACAGTAGTGAAAATATTTTATTTTGTCAGTATATCTCCAAATGTTTTCACCTGTAATTTTTATCCTGATGCATTAAAAATGAGTTTGGTGATATTTTTCTACTAAATTCTCAAGAAGAAATACTTAGGATGAAGAGATGCTCTGAACAGCTCATTTGTTCCCCAGTAAATGACGATAAAATTCTTAGTATTCATAGCCAGTTTAAAATTGTTCATAATAGTAAAATAATGAGATTAAACACAAAACTTATTTTCTTTAGAGATATTTCATTAGATTCTCAAAATTCTCAAAACAAGAACACCATTCAATAAAGGAAAAAAGCAACTTTAAAAATAACACTATTTCTAATGCAATTTTAACATTAATGCTATTTGCAAAGATTGCTAATCATCTATTTTTAAACTACTCATTCATCAAAATTTTCAACAGTAATCTAGACACCATAGCACCATTTTAGAGATAGAGAAACTAAGGGATAAAAGCCAAAATGCTTAATATAAGACTACATGAAAAAGACAGCAGTATTATCTGGTTTGCCACATGCTGCTTTAGTTCACTGTTCTAAACACCAATGTTGTCTTTGTATATGCTCAACGTTTCACCCAAAAATCACAAGATTTTTTTTAGGCCTGTCACTAAATTTCTCTATTATAACATTTAATTCCTGAAATAAATGTCCTTCTTTGGGCCTTTTTAAATACTAAGACAGCAATCCTGTACCAAAATACATGCTGTAATCAGATATCCAACCATACTACACATTAACTCAGCATAAAAAGTCCGTTTTAGAATGAAGATCTCTCAGTAAGTATCAATCACATAGCAACACTTAATAACAGTGGTAATATATAATAGAGTACTGACTTTACATCTGGAAGAGCCAAACTACAACTACATCAATCCATTTCACTGTTTCTGATTTGGCAGTAATTATAAAATAGACAAATAGAATTAAATGTAAATTGAAAAGAAAAATCTTTATGAAATCCTTTTTTATAAAGTTCCCATTTAACAGCCCATTAAATGATGAGACCCAAAAAGAGTCAGGATGTTTTCCAATCCCAGTGCATGTGTTTCCAAGCATGAAGAGAGCCAAAAGCACAAAAAGAAAAGCCCTGCAAACCATAAGAGCAGAATGTTCATTAACCTCTACATGATAATCCTTTCGTAGCTGCATATTAACTAGTTACATATTCATAATCATTTACATTATTTAAAGGACCTTCGATGAAATTTTCTAGGCTATATCCATTAGTGACGGTGTTAAAGGTTATAGAAGATAGTCTACTTAATGTTTCCAGGAAGCCTTTTTAATTAGTAAATATGTAAATTTCGCACATATGCTTTTTATGGTTAAAAAACAAGTCACTGGTAGAATGACATGTGTTCTTGCTATCACCCCCACTTCCCCAGAGTCTACCCTGCACTTTATTCTAGCTAGCCATCCTCCTCCCCCATTCCTCACCCCATTCTTTCCTAAAATAGTCTCCCTAGAAACAGATATTAGTAAGGATGGTTTGCAACATACTGCTCTACTTCACTGTTTAAAACAAAAATCCATCCCACAATTTACTAAAGAAATTTCCACTACCAAAATACTGTCTTACGTTAAATGTCCTTACTGGTTACATATAGCATTTAGACATCAGAGATTTCCATTAGGCACTAGCCAAATGTAGGTTAGAGAAGATATTGGAAATTAGAAATAAGGGGAAAGTAAAAGAGGCAGATATAACAATACATTAAATAGCCGTCAGATGGTATATCTGTTATCTGTGTCTATATAATTTATGGTCTACTACTTTAAAAATTACTTGAACACACGCAGTTGTATTTATATTGAGATATAGTTTTAGCTTCCTCTTTTAGAGCAAATTATTCAAAAGAAAAAAATTAATAAATTTCTGTAATTCAGCTACCAAGGAAAATGTTTTTAAAAGGGAAAAAATCATATAATTCAAACTTAAATGCATGTAGGTTAAAACATTGTTATTTTTCCATGAAACTAAACTCCAAAACATACTTCTGAAAGTAAACTCAGATTAATTCCTTTAACTATTGGATGAGATGACTGTAAGATAGTGAACACAGTTCCATAAGCAATTCTTGAAAAACAAAGCAAAAAACAAAAAAATACTTCATTACTTCGTTGTTCTCCACAAAAGTAACATAGTTATGGAAGAATACTTGTTTGGGTTTTTTGTTTTGTTTTAAAACATAAACATCAAAACATGCAAATATTACTCCTAAGGAAAAAATCTTATTGATATTATATCATTTTCATAAAAAAATGGGTTACTGGGGCCAGCAGGTGGCAGGGTGATTGAGGCACTGGACTCCCATGTGGCTGACCATGGTTCGAGTCCCAGACCTGACAATTTGCTTTCTTGCTCTGTCTCTCTCTCTCGTGAACAAATTTAAAAAATAATATTAATAAATGAAAAATCAAATAAAAATAATTGACATAGCAAATTCTTTAATGTAATGTAATGTAATGACTGCACTTACAGCCAAGAATTTATAAATAAAATACATAGTTATATAATAGTACAGTAGTAAGTCCACAGTAAAAGGAAGGGACTATGAGCTGTTTTAACATTTTTTAAGATACAGTCTATCTGGGGCTGCGCCTGTAGCCTAGTGGTTAAGGGAGCCAAATAGCCCACACAATGACAGCAGTTCAAATCCTGGCCCCAATCACTTGAAAAATACACCAGACTCAGGTGCATGCATGCCCAAAATCCCAACAGGATGGAGAAAAGGAGAAGGGATTGCAGCATGACGATGCTCCATCTAGAAGTGCTTTCTACCTCTCTCTGTCTATGGCAAGCATATATGCCCCACTGGCATGAAAAAAAAAAACATAGTCTATCACTGAGCCTTTACCAACAACTCACTTTTCTTTGTAACTCAAGACTGCCCTTAGTAAGAGTGCATGATAAAATAAAGCTACAAACAGTCGCCTTTTGGGTTGTTGTTTTTTTTTTTTAAGAGAGTTGGGGTGCGGGGGTTGTTTGTTTTGCTATAGGAAGCATGTGCTTGTCAGAGAGACAGAGAGACAGACAGACAGGAAGCAAGAAATCACTCCCAGGGAGGATGGTCATGCACAATCCCTTCTCCTCCATTCTCTTCTCAGGATTTTGGGCAGGCAACACATGCACATGTGCCAGGCATGGACCGTTTAGGACTCCAACCACGCAGTTGATCATGTCAGAGTCCAGCAGCATAACCATTAACCCATCTGCTGGTCTCCAAACAAGTATTTTTGGGTTTTTTTAGGGAGGTTTTTTTTGTTTGTTTGTTTTTGCTATGGGGGTGTACACTCACCAGAAAAAGAGAAACAGAGAGACAGAAAGCCAGAAATTACCCCCTAGGGGAGATGGCCACACCACAATCCCTTTTCCTCTCGGGATCTTGGGCATGCACATAGGTGTGCCCAGCATGAATTTAAGCCACCAGGTCCGGGATTATAACCATGGTTGATTACATGGGAGTCCAGCGACATAGCCTTTAGGCCAACTGCTGGTCCCCTAAACCAGTAGTTTTTAATCTCCATTTAAAGAAAGGAAACCTGTGTTCAGAGATACAGTCATTTACCCAATATTATACAGCTATCCAAGAACTAGTAAGAGATTAAAAATCAGTGTTAAAACCAAGTCTCTCTGGGACCAGCAGTTAGCGTAATGGCTGGACTCCCACGTAGTCAACCGCGGTTCGAGTCCCAGACCCGGTGGCTTTAACTCACGCCGGGCACGTGTGTGTGCGTGCCCAGGATCCTGAGAGGAGAATGGAGGAGAAGGGATTGCGGGGTGGGCATCCCCCCAGGGGGTGATTTCTCGCTTTCTGTCTCTGTCTCTCTCTGTCTGTCTGGTGAGCGCACGCGCCCTATAGCAAAAACCTCTCCAAAACAAAAACAAAACAAAAAAAAAAAAAACCAAGTCTATCCAATCCCCATACCCACCCTTACTCCCTGTACTGGACTGCTTCCAACTATCATGCAACTTACAGGATAACAGAAGAAAAGCAGCTGCTTACATCCTCAGTCTTTCTTAGAACACTGACTGCTGCTGGTATTACTCTTCCAATTCCTTCTCAATCCACACTGATATGCATACAAGACCTCACCAATAAATACAAATAAGTTTATGGAACTTATTCACTAATTCACCAATTCACTAATATAAATTCTTATTTTCTTTCAATTCCTAATCCAATTCCTGGTTCTTTCAGGTAAAATACGCAACAAATTTCCCAAGCACCATGTACTATTTATTGTGTGTGTATGTGTTTAGAGGGGAGGGCAGCGAAATAATAGGCTAACACCATATCACCATCACATCTCATCATTTTTTCAGAAACTTAAAACAACTAATTAAGCCAGATACTCAGGATGGGCAGCTCACCCAATCTATTTTTCTGCACACCATTGTGCAGCTAGCAAATATACACATTTTGTTACAAAAAGTTAAAATATTTAATGATTTTTTTTATTTTAGAGAGAAATAAAAAAATTATTTAACATGGAGTTAAGATCTCCAGTATTTATTTCTATTTGTGCTATTTATTTTGGTAACAGACCACAAGGGGG